CCTCGTTGAGTGGCATAGGCTGTCGCTGGGTGTTCAGCAGAGGGGCGGATGGCCTTGAGGTCACTCTCAAGGGCCTGAAGACGATCGAGGAGGTCTTCCAGCTTAGGCGCGACATCACGAGCCCTGATCCCGGCGGAGAATTCGCTGTATTCAGGGCCCAGTCCGCGGAGGCAGATGGTGACGAGCTCTTCGTAACGAATAACTTCACCAGTTAGGGCAAGTTCAGAGGCGCGAGACCGAAGAGCCTGAACATAGGTGGCAATATCCCGGTCGCCGCGTCGTTCACCAAGGAGGCTGTCTCGCAGAGTCATAATGCGAGAGTAGGAGGTACCAACATAGGTACGTTGAAGAGTTTTCCATGCTTCACGAGATGTATGCGCAACCGCAATGAAGGGGCAGAGTTCTGCCGTGACCGAAGCTAAGATGCCGTTGAGGAGGAGTTTGTCCTGTCGGAACCAGTGAGTGTAGGCCGGGTTCCGAGCAGAGACACCATTGACGAGAATGTTTTCAGCAGGCGGAGCGACGGTGCCATCGAGATAGCCGACAAGGTCAAGGCCATAGAGTAGAGAGAACAGTTGTGCACGCCAGGATGGGAAGTTGGTGGCGGTGAGTTTGAGAGGGTGGGACGCAGCTGGATTGAACGTGACCAGCTGCAAATCGGCGGCGGCGACAAATGCTCCAGCAGCAATAGTGGATGATTCTTCAGCAAACTCAGATATGGCGATGGCTGGCCAGCAAAGACAGAAAAAAGAAATGGGTTTTAGGTTTTGGAACGGTGCTCTGATACCATGTAAGGGATTTCAACCTTGTGTGTATTTCATTATGTAATGATGTGTATTTATACAAGTACAGAGAGACAGAATACAAGAGGGAGAAGGAGACTACAGGGAACAACGAATACAAATCCTATACAAACTAGGATTTCTCCCTAATACTTTTAAACATGTGGAATTTTCTTGAGAATGAGGGATGAAGAAAAAAGTCAATAAGTCATTTTTAAAATTTTATCCTATTAATGGTTACAAATGAGGTGTAAAATATAAAAAATAAATTTTATTTATTTTATTATTTTTTAATTGCTATGTCACATATTTAACGGTCAACTATAAGAGTTGACTGCCACATAAGCAAAAGTTAACGGAGTTGGACGGAGAGTGACCAAACTTGAAATATTTAACTAATCTTAGTGATCACAAATGGAATTAAATATTTATAGTGACCAAACATGAACGTATTCTGTAATCTCAGTGACTATCTTTGCAATTAACCAGCTTTGCATTTCTATTCAACAAAGAATTGGAAAGAACACATATATGTCAACCTGGTCCGAAAGCAAGACTGCATAGATTGCCCAAGCTTAGTCAGCTAATATATTTACCAATCAGATTTTTCCTTGGAACAATAATTTGAGCAAGAAGTTTAACTTTCACTGGAAACCACCAATGTCATGGACAAACAGTTCATATATACATACACATTGGCCACCAACTATCCAAAAGGGTTAATTGCAAGGTTGGTCACTGGGATTACAAAAAACGTTTTTGTTTAGCCACTAAAAACATTTAATTCCATTCGTGGCCACTAAATATAGTAAAACATTGTATGTTCGGTCTCTCTCCGTTAGTCTCCGTTAACGGGGTCAACTTTTTGCTGAAGTGACTAACAGAAATGCCCAATCACCCAATTTTTAACCAAAAAAAATTAAAATCTGACCCGCCACATCATAAATGTCTAACCCAACCCATGGGCCATGACTCGACCTTCCTTCTTTAACCACCCGACCTAAAAAAACCCCACTTTACCATTCCAAATCTCCAACATCACCCTCGACCTCCGCCGCTCCAAATCATGCTCTAGCAGCTCCAACCCCATTGTCGCCTCTTCCACCTCCGCCACCAAGACCACAATCTCCCACGCTACTGCTCATGCGAGGTTCGGCATCGGAACAACCTATAGCTCTTCCACCACGACGATGACGAAGGACCAAGCATCTAGTTGTACGCCAAGGCGAAAGTGAAGGCAAGGTCGTCGTCTCTGAGCTCGAGATGGTAGGAGGAGGAGGAGGACGAGGAGATTTCTCAACGATCTCAAATCCCTTTACAGGAGCAAGTAGGGAGGAAGCGAACCGCGGCAGCCGCTGCATCCTCTCGTCCACCAGAGCCATTGAGGCATCGTAGTTGGGCTCGACGCCGCAGCTCTACTTCTCTTCGTCATCACCAGCAGCCTGTATATCCACCCAATCGATCAAATTTCCTGTTTCCCCCAAGTTGAATTGATGAAAACCAGAGGTAGCGGATGAAATCCCCCGTCTGATCCCACCTCAACGAAGGAGAAAGCGCTGAAGCTGCTCGAGTCGGTCTCGTCGTGCCGAGAAGGGATGGTGGGGCTATGCGGGGACTCCGGGTGCATGGGGGCGGTGGATGGAGGTCGTGGTGACGAAGTGGACGGTGTGCTACCTGTTGAGGACCAGAAGGCGGTGGCTGCCATGGCCAGGAGCAACGGAGATATGAGTACGACGAGGAAGCCATTTCCTCCCTTCGAATTCGGGTTTCTCCTTGTCGGATGAAGTAGGGGAAATGGGTATCTTTTACATTTTAAGGTTTTAATTTGAGTGGGTGGGTTCATGGGTCAGGTTTGGTTATAGAGTTGGGTTGGGCAAGATGATGTGGCGGGTCAGGATTCATAATTTTGTAGTTAAATTCAGCTGACTAAGCAATTTCATCTACCACATCAGAACATAACGGTCATCATTAACGGAGACTAACGGAATTAAGTATTTTTGTGACCAAACATGATCGTTTTTTGTAATTTCAGTGACCAACCTTGCAACTAACCCCTATCCAAAAGTACCCCACTTTTACTTAATGCTTACATTGCATTTGTTCATAATCAAATCCAAACAACCATAAGACCCTGACTTTGCAACAAAGGAAACCTACACCAAGAACCACCAAACAGACTACCTAAATAGATATCACATGGAAAAGCAAGATGCCAACAACAACGGAAAAAATCCAAAACTACCACTATTTAAAAAAAATTACAAAAATACCACCCATACTCAACAATTTCCAAAATACCACTCTTTCACACAAAACGCGCCTCGAAGGCGCGATTCATGATGAAACCGCGCGTGCAAGGTGCGGTTTGACCCTTCCTATCTGTCAAAACGCGTCGCCACGTGGCGGCCCATACAACCGCGCGATGGGGAGGCGATCTGACGGCCAAACCGCCCACCAGCACAGTGATCCGCGTCGCTCAGTCAAACCGTTGCCCCGAGGCGCGGTTACCGCGTTGGGGAACGTAAACTAACCAAACCACCCCTCCAGCACGCGGCTTCGTCCCTATATAAACCCCACTCTCCTCCCATTTTCGACACACCAAACCCACATTCCCCCTCTCTATCTCTAACTCCTCACTCTACCCACCCCCCTCCCCACCCAAAAACCTTAGAAGTAGTTGTTTTGTTGGTTGCGGCTAAGTCCGATCTGCCTTCAAAAAACTATTTCCTTGGTTTTCACTAAAAAACCATCGAATCTATGACTGGATTCTGAAAAAATGGCCGATTTTATCCAAGAAGAGGGTATTTACTATGATTTTTATCAAGCGGTATGTACTCATTTTACCCAATTTTTGTTGTTGTTATAATGATTTATTTAATTTATGTACTAATTGATTTATGTTGTTATGCTATCGTAGGTTGGGCCAGATGTTGATATATACAATCAACGATATTATGTTGATCAAGGACCTATTTTATCAGACTATTTTACACCATTTGATCAACTCTTCTAGTGGCATCCATGCAGGTAATCTAAGTGCACATTTGATGAAGCTCTTCCAGCATCGGTCTCGTACGGACCTTCATTTTATAAAAATTGCCACCGACATAACTTACACCCTTTTCGGTCTCTTCCGTGTAACCATTCCACCGCAACCCAAGCGTGAACCTTTGGAATGCCATCTGCAATAAAATTGTAATGAAGTTACTAACATAAAATCACAAAGGACAATGAAAAGTAATACAAAACAAACTTACGAATTAACGTTAATCGCAAAAACTAAATAATTTAAAGGTGCTCAACTGAAATTTGAAGAAGAAGAAGAAGAAGAAGAAGAAGAAGAAGAAGGAGATGTGAAGATTTTGAGGAGTGAAGATTTTGAGTTCTCTGGAAGGACAACAACGTCCACATGGTAAACCTCTGTTTGGTGGTGTGGTTTACCAAGCCGACATATAAACGCTCTCTGAGGAAGCGTTTTATGGTAGGGCAGCCATATAAACCGCGCCTTCGAAGAGCGGTTTTACCTGAAAAGGAAAATAGCCTGTTGACCAGGCGTTTCTATTGTAAAACGCAGCCTGGTGGTGCAGTTTATATATTAACCGCCCCTTAGAGGCGCGGTTTTAAATAAACGGTGGTATTTTTGGAAATTGTTGGCAATGGGTGGTATTTTTGTAATATTTTTTTAAGAGTGGTAGTTTTGGATTTTTTTCAACAACATCCCACACGATGACCCATTCAAAGCTATGTGCACAAAGGACAACAACGTCCACGTTTTAAAAAGCCTAGTAATGTTTGATGCATATTAATGCTCACAAAGAAAATAGCCTTAGCATAGCAGGGCCTCACCTGCAACCCTTGCAGCAACATTGAAAAATGGAATTAGATCGATCAGCCTTGTGTTTGTTTAGCAACAATGCTTGCATGATTGCTCCTGGTGGTCCTTGGAATGCTACTCCAACCCTTGATGAAAAATGGAACAAAAAATTTGGAGTTATTCTCAAGGTTTTCTGTTTCTAAATATGCCAGTGAGCAATTTCACGGACCAAAAAAGTTCAGAAAGATTATAATGTACTAACCATTTGATTCTTCCAAAGACAACATTGATGGCAGATCGTCCATCCTAGAATTCTTGTCTGCAAAAGAGTAAAATCTTGAATGAAAAATATCCCAAATGATGAAAGAAACCCTCCTGGAGGTGAAAGATAGCTATTTACCCATATATGAAAAAGACGAACAAATAAACACAACCTGCCATGGTTGTTATCTGCCTCTCCTCTAAATCCACTAAAAGCCACCACGCGATCTCGCTGGAGTCGAATCAATCCCCTGGGTTGCTGGAAGCTCTCAACTCGAGCGCTACACAACCTAACAACAAAGCATTTGAAAGCTCAAATAAGAGAAACTCGACTGATAAAAAAGCAGGAACTGATCTGTGTCGAGATTGAGGAAAGGGATTTACTTTCTGAAAAACTGAACAATGGAGTTTGAAAATGCAGAGATATATTGGTCCCTGTGGAGGCCATCAAGCTTGACAATCGATAAGAGATTATCTGCTAAAGGCAACAACAAATACAACCATTAAACCGGTGGATTTCGGCAAATACAAATAAAATGAAAGACACACAAATGGGGAATGATGAGGCAAACCTCATTAATTACAGGCACAACGACTCTCCTTGGAACATCATTCCCTTGGTGTTACCCAGACCACCCCCAACAACGGCGTATTAATCAACTCTCCACTACCAGCCTCATCGTGTGAAATCTCTGCTGAAAAGAAATCAAAATAAACCATAATTATGAACAAACCCCAAATACAAAGGAGAACAAAATCATGGATGAAAGAGAGAAGAAATAAACCACAAAAGAACATGTAGATCTCAACGTTCCTCCACTCTCTCCCTCAGCTCTCGAATCCGCCACCAGCCACCCGATTGCTTTGAGGCCCACCCAACCACAAACTGAGATGAGAGAAATCAACGCAGACCTCAATTTCATATCCAGGAATTCACCAAAAAATACCAACTAAAACAACTCAACCGGGACAAAGAGAAGAAATAATCACCTAAATCCAATAATAAGCTACGGTCTGGATCTTCCCTGCATCCTCTCTGGTTCATCGTTCCAAATCTTGTCTTCGTTGGAGATGGATTCTTGTCACTGGTGGGTTCCTGGCGATTCCCCAGTTGCTCGCAACATCAGCCTTCCGTGAGCGAGCGAGATTGCAGAGGAGAGTATGCTCCATAGCAGAGGAACGCAAAGGTATGAAGCTAACAAGAAACAGGAGGAGGCGCGAGAAAGCGTGAGGTTTCTGGGATTTTCTGTGGGGAGAGAAAATAAGGGCAGAGAAATGATGGGGCGGGGTGAAGAAGTGAGGAAAGAGGGGGAGAGTTGTGATACAAGGCAGGGCGGTGGGAGAGAGCAACGATTCTCCCAAGGCACTACTACAGAGAGCAGAGGAAAGAACTGTGCGACCATCATTATCACAAAGACCAAGATGAAAGGGGGCAGAGGAAATCGCAGATGCTCAGAGCCCTGCGCGGTTTCCATCGTACACAATAGAGGGAACCCAAAACCCCTTGCAAATGAATCACGAAACGGCGACACAGAGCAGCCAAAAAATGTCGAGCACACCAAACAAATCAAAGCAGGCCCAAGCCAAATAGCCAATGGGAGAAGATTGAATAGTATATATGGGTCTGTGTGAACAGGAAAAGTAGTCTTGGTGTACAGGGATAGGCTATTTGTGTCTTCCTAAGACTAACTCCAACCCAAAAAGCTATATTTAGCCTCCCAAACTCTCAAATGTGCATATTTGCCTCCCAAAACACTTTTTTGCTCCAACCCTACAGGCTTCCAAATTTAGCTTCCCACATCTTTTTTTGATTTAATTTCCATAATCCATACTTATTTACAATATCATTCTTGTAATTCACTTTAATTTTTTTATAGTTTGTTATTACTTGTGAAAACAAAATTTTCGATGTAATTTTTTTTAATTCCGAGATTTTTTTTTTTGCCAAATTAGACTTTTTTTGTAGCCGTTACTTTATGACCGTTTTTTTTGGACCAATCCAAATATGACCGGTTTTTTTAGCCGTTACTTTATGACCGTTTTTTTGTCGTTTTGTGCATCATATGTGTTTATAAATTACAATTCTTCATTTTTCATCAACTCACTGTAACTTCTTCCCATTTCTAAAACAAACACATTCATCATGAGTATGCCAGATAGCTCATCGTCGGGAGGAGAAGAAGAAATCGAAGAGTACGAGAGGTTTCACCACCTACGGTTGAGTTTGATCGGCCGGAGGCTGGCTGAAGGTTCATCAAGTCGACGTCAAACTACAAGTCGACGTCAAATTTATCGTGAAAGGGTCGAATGTAATCGCCGTCTTATGAGGGATTACTTCGATCCAAATCCAGTATACAATGCTCGCATATTTAGAAGGCGCTATCGGATGTAATCGCCGTCTTCATGAGCTTTCCAATTGGGTCCTCTCTTACTTGACATGTTTTTGTTTTGAGAGATGATAAATAGATGAGAATGAGAGAGATTGATTTGAGAATGAGTGCAGAAAAACCATGAGAAGTTACTCATTATATAGAAAAAAAAAATATGACCGTTTTATGGCCGTTAAAATGTGTCCGTTGCAATGTGACCGTTTTATTGTCACTATATTACTTCTTTCAAACTAAAACGCAAACACACCCACACAAATAACCACTCAAACAAATTGAAAAAAAAAGACAGCAGCAGAGGGGCCCCGCGTGCAGGCGAGGACCACCCGCGGAGGCTGCTATTTTTGCCACTTTTATCCATGGAGGCTGCTACCTATCCACCCCAACACTCCCTTCTCCAAATTTGGAAGCTAAATTATTGATGGGTTGGAGATGAAAAAAGGCAAAAAGTTCACTTTCTCTAAATTTGCAAGCAAAGGTTGGAGTTAGTCTAATGTGCCATCATAAGATATGACATGAGCTATATATACAAGCCCAAGCCTTGTACTATGCAATCCAAGTGATATTTTCACACTCTATTGTTAGGCTGACTCCAATGCAGCCTGCATTTATGGAGTTCTCGCCATTAATGGCGATTTTGGAGCTCCAACGCAGACCCGAAAAATGGCGAAAATCGGCATTTATGGAGGGCATCGACATCTGGGTCGCTAAATATGGGGGAGGGAATGCCGAAGTTGGCATTTATGGGGAATGGAAAAATTGTTGGGCACGTGCAAGGGAGAGCATGAAAGGTGTAATTAATGGTAGAAAAGGTGTAATTAATTGCTTGCTAATTAATGTGATTAATTAAGGGAAGAAAGGAAATGTGTAATTAATTGCTGGATGACACAACAACACGTTCAACCATTAATTAAGGGAATGTCAATTCTTGTTTTGTATTTTATTTAGGCTTCTTTAATTTGTATTTAAATTGTTTTTAATATTTGGTTTAATTTCTTTTGATTTGGTTGTGCCGCCCAACAGCTTTTTTTTGTTAATTGTTTATTAGTTATTTAAGGAAATTGATTAAGGGAATGAAATGTAATTAATTAGGGAAAGGGGAATTAATGTTTGTGTGTAAACCCAAATTAGGTCGTTAATTTTTCGCTAAAAAAATTCGGTCTCGAAATTTAACAAAATTCTATCGAAAAATTTGTATTTAAAAATGACGACGAACTATACAAAAATTAACATGAACAAATTATATTAAAGTTTCGATAAATACATTTTTAAATAAATGGAAAAACTGGAAATATTAAGAACTCCAAATATGGAGTTTGTTGCATTGGAGCAAAAGAAGGGAAAATGGGGTTCAATCCCCAAATTTGGAGTTCAAGGCCCCCAAATTTGGGGTTTTGCATTGGACTTGGCCTTAGTTTCTCATGCAAAATTTAAGAGACTATTCATTATCTTGTTTTTTTCCCTAATACCATTAGGAAACCCAAACTATTAATAGTGTGTTATTTGTGTGTCGAACTATTCAATATGACATTTATGGCCCAACTTATGATAATTATGTGGCATTCATGTACCGATAAATTTGTTGACCGTTATAGATAGCGGTTGACCAGACGGTGGTCAACTTGATATTGACTTTTGTTGACGTGGCAGCGACACCTCATATTTTTAATTCAAAATTAAATAAATAATAAAATAACATAATAAAATAAAATCTTTAAATTCACAATACTATTAATCTAAAAAAAAAAACTAAAAGCACTCAGACTCGGGATCTTTCTTCCCTTCTCCCTTCTTCGCCCTCGCCGTCTTATGTGCGATTTCCCAAACTGTTCGCGACGATTGCTGCCAACGATTGAGACTCCGGATGAGGCAACGATGGAACCACTAAACCCACAGACATGAACCATCTAGTGCCGCCGCCATCAACGATGCAATCTCAATTCTCAATTGTCCGCTCAGCAAAGGCAGGGTCTGTTTCGCCTCCATCTCCATCGACCGACCCGAACTCAAGGCCAATGGCCACTCCTTCACGAAAACCCCAAATCTCACCGTTACATATCTCACCTGTAGCGCACCCCCAACATCTCTTCTGCTGCATTCGTAGTGAAGATCTATTGATGCTTGACCCAGTTTCCCTTTTGTAGCGACTCGTGCGGAGAAGACGCAAGGGAAAGAACCCTCGATGTTATGGAGAGGTTTCTAACATTCTCGATTCCTTTAGAAGTCTTTCCGTTCTTGAACTTCGATTCCTCTTAGGGGTCATTTGGATGGAGAAGGTGAAGGTAGATTGACGGGCGCATATGCCATTTTTTTCATTTTATGCAAAAAAAAATATTAAAATAAAAATTTAATATAAGAAAGCGATGACTATACTTTCTATTAAATATTAACAGTTAATGCCGATCAACTTTAACATAATAATAGTTCATGACATAAATGTCATTTCAATAGTTTAGGACACAAATGAGTGAAATGACACACTTTGATAATTCGAGTTTTTTACTGGTAGTATTAGCTTTTTTTAATTAATAAATATTACATTGATTTGTTCTTTTTGTTATTTGATGTATTGAATCAATTGGTATATTAGACAAATACCTTATTTGGAGGTTTAGATTTTGTGTTTGTTGTAAGGTCACAAAAGTTAATTTTGAGTGATTGTAAATAATCTCAACAAAAAGTAGAGATTGATAATCCCTCAATTTTGAATGATTGTTGTTGGGGCCTCCAAAAAGTTAATACATGTATTCTAGTTCAATATAAGCCAAAAAATGATTTAATCTTATAAATACAAGATTTGGCTCAATGCAACATTTAAAATGAATTAGTTGAACACACTTACTAGTTTCTTCGAAGAAGCACAATTAATGCACGAGTTAGATAACACTAGAAAGGATTCACCATCCTCCAAACGACTTCTTATTGGATTAATCTATGAAATGCATGGCTTATATGAATAGACTACTGACATTGTATATCACGATCCTAGATGGTAAGTTATATCAATGTAACATTATGATATACTATAGTAGCACTAGACTGAACCAAACCTGCTAACTATCACTATTTCATGGCTTCAGCTCGGATGTGCAACGAGTTGGTCAATATCAAAGTGTACCTAAAAATACTAATCTTAGGTCAGACCATACCGAATTGAATATAAATATGGTCTGACTAAAGAAAAATGCATCGATTTGACATTTGATTGGATCAAACCAAATCGAATACACTGTTGGTTTGGTCATTGATCATAAAATGTTTTTCCACTATTGGACCATAATTCTTATGTGTTTGATATGATCCGAACCAGACCGAACTGTTGTTCACCCCAAGCTCAGTCGATATTGATAATTCGATATATAAGATATGGACACAAATAGTAGTTGTTAATCCAGCTATTGAGTTCAAGTTGGGTCGGGGTATAATATGAGATAAGAGCCGGGTAGCATAACGCCGCCCAATAGGGGTTTGGGTTGTGGCCTGAGGGAAGACAATAGGGCTTTAAGCCCGTTTGTGGGTAGGAACGGATAAAGAACCCACACGAGTTTTTCCTTTAAAGTGTGCCCTTCGGACTGAGCCTTAGTTAGCTGCAGGCCCAGTAACGAGAAAAAAAGAAAGAGAAGCCTTGTGGCAGTGAGCCAGTGAGCCAACTAAAAGAGGAAAAAGAAAGAAAGAAAGAAGAGGGCATTCAGTTGGGTGGACAGTGGACTGGAATTGGAAGTTAGACTTACGGATGGCAAATGACACCCAATCCATGGGTAGTTAACCGATCCAATTTGGTCAAAGCAAGTAAAATTGAGCGTTGATAGATTTTGGGTCGGGTACAAATTTTCCCATTTTGTGGTA